ATATTATCATCTTTGCTATTATTACTTTCTTGTTATCACTATATTCATATTACTAGTATTCTATATTTAGTTAGTCTATCTTATAATTATCATTATCTTATTATTTATAGTAAGATTGCTGTACTTGCTAAATGTTTAAGTATAGATCTGCACTATTCCATTTTTAGTCTGTAATAGATTAGTTAATAGAATTTCCTAATTGGCTTGACTATCAATTTCTATATTAGTCAAACGACATATTGAACGTGTTGCAGAGTGAACTATCATGATGAATTTAATGTAAACATGACATGTGTTTGTTAAAGGCGTCAAGAAGCTGAATCTTGTTATGAGAATAGTTTCAATAAACTCATTGAGGCAAGGTGTAGCTGTTATTTGTCTCAGGCGTTTAGCATCATTGAGGGATAAAGGAATTGGTATTGAAAAGGATAAATCTATTGAGGAAGGAAATACCAATGGTTAACTTGAGTAAATAGTCTGTACGATTTTTATATATATTTAAAAACCTGATATTTTCTTGAATTAAGTTTTCTCAGACTTTGATCTCCTTGATATTTTTGAATAAACAGTTTCATATTGAATTTTCTCTTATATTATTAAACTATCATAAATACATCTTCACGGTCTTGTTAATATTATATATCCTAATATCTCTATCGTGAATACATCTTCACAATCATCTATATTTATTTATTATATCATATAATTATTACAACAATAATTATTCACCTATTGTTATCCCTATCTTACTCTAATTCATCTTTTATTCACTATTGCTGATCTAAACTTGGCTGAAATTATGATAGTAACAACACTATTAAATTATATTAGCTCACTATCACTTAACTAAACTCAGGCCCACTTATTAACACTCTTCCGAATTCGATAGTAACAACGGAATAGTGATAGATATTATATACATAATGTACTCATATATAAATATTAATTAATTATTATCTATGTATATGAATGATTATTACTTATTACGTTTACAAATGTCATCTAGAAAGTAAATTTTTAACTCAAATATCTGCTGATCAGATTGCACTTTTGTTTATGGGTTTACTAAAATACACCATGCCATAGTTGATACATCTCAAAAATATACTAGTTAGTACACCTCAGGGATACTAAGTAAAAATATTCAGAACTTCAAAAAACCTTATACTA